TACACCATCGTCGACGGACCCTGCTGCGGCTGCATCTGCAATGGCGAAAACTGCGGGCGCATCTCCTTGGGTGTCGGCGACGGCGGACCCTGAATCGCCCTCTGTGTCGACCGCCCCCTCGCCGCCGGCGCCGCCATAATCTTCTTCGCCCCCTCGTCCCGCCTCCGCTCCTTACCCTCCGCCTCCACCGCGGGCCACATCCCACGCACAGGCCCACCCGCCGATATCTCTCCCTCCCCCTTCAACGGCCACACAACGCACCGCCTCACCCGGACTCCCATTCCCATTCCCGCGCCTGCGAGAGCAAGCTCAGCACCCGCATCGACGACGCCCAGATGCCGCAACACCCCCGCACACGCCGCCCGATCCGCCTCCGCCACCTCCAAGTCCCAATGCAGCCGCACCACCCCCTCCGCCGTCGGCTCGTCGCACCACCCGCTCGGCCTGCGCCGCTTTTCCTTTTGCGGTGGCGCGGAGACAGAGGCGATGAGCAACTCCTCGTCCCGCGGACGCGGCGCCTTCCGCGCACGCTTCTCCTTCTCCCCCTTGTCATTTTCCTCACTCTGGTTCTCCGTGTGCTTTGAAAGCGCTCGGCGCGCTGCCTTGTGCTTCGCCTTCGCCTCCACGACCACCACCGTCGCCGCCGCCGCCTTGACCGCCTTCCCGACGGGAATTGTCCCCCCACGCTCGTTCTGCGCAAACGCCGCGTTGAACGCCGCACCTAGCGAGGGCGCCACGTCCTGCGCAGCCGCAGCATCGTCTTCGTCGTCTTCCTCCCCGCTCTCCACCTCCTCCTCCTCGCTCTCCATCTTGAATTGCCGACCGGTCGTGTGCGATCTCGATTTCGATTTCGTCGCCCCCGCTCTCCTCCTACCCCAACCACCCTCCCCGTCGTCGCTCTCATCCCAGCTCTCATCCTCCCCGTCCCTCCCCCACCTCGACGCCGACACCGACGCCGTACTCCTCCCCCGCCCCGCATACGTTCTAATTGCGCTTTTACTTTCGCTCCGCCTCCCCCCCGTCTCTACCCTCGCGCGCTTATACAAAGCATACGGCGCCCGCGGCACAAGCACACACTCCATCACCCGCTTGCGTTTCTGCGCCTTATTTGTATTTTGCTCCGTTCGCACCACCTTCTCGCCGGGGTCGCCGTTCCCGTTGCCATTCCCGCGCACCACCACCTTCCGCGCAACCCCCACCCCCGGCGCCGGCGGCGCGCGCCGCTTCCTCCTCTCCCGTTCCCGTCCCTCCTCCTCCTCCCACGCTCGCTCCGCTTCTTGTTGACCCCGACGACCCGACGCGGGCGGCGGCGGCGTGAACAAATCGTCCACCTCCATCTGCTCGGGGGGAGGCGTGAACAGCTCGTGTACCCCCCGCTCCGACTGATCCTCGCCCTCGTTCTCACTCGCGTAGAAATCGAGCAGATCGAGCGGATTAGAGGAGGGTCTCCCGGGTGCGAGGTCGAGGTCGAGGTCGGGGGAGGGCATGAACAGCTGCGGAGTACGTAGTTGTTGTGAGTAAGGAAATGTAAGCAAGGATGAATGTACGCACCCGAGTCTGGTTTCCGCCTTTGTTGGACCCGCCGCTCCCAGCAGCGCTTCCAGTGGCGCTCCTCACGCTATCGGTACGGGCAGTCTGCGCGCGGAAATGAGCAAGTATCAGCACACACTCGTCAGACAGTGGAAGCCGAAAGCCGAAAGTAGAAAGTAGGTAACAAAATTGTCGCGAGTCATCGTGCCTCACCAATGCCCGCGACGCGACGCCCGCAGAGGGTCTGTCTGTCCTACACTCCCACGAGGACACGACATCCATCCCCGACGCAATTGTCGTAGTCGCGAACTCAAGTTGCGCACGACGTCCCTGCCTCCCATCTCGACGCGCAAACTCACGCCACGCCAAAAGAAAAATGCGACGAAAGAAAGAAAGAAGGTACGAACCTGATCCTGACCCTGGCTTTTGCCACTCGCCGCGCTCTTCACACTCCCGCCAGTCCCAGTCCCAGTCCTAGTCTGTCAACGCACAAATGAGTATCAGCACACGGTGCGAGGTCCACGAGAAGAATAAAAAGGAATATCGTCGGAGCTCCATTCGCGCTAGCGTGCAGACCATGCCCCACCCCACAAAGCAAAGAAAAATGAAAATGAAAAAAAGCCCTCGCTGTAGCCTCTCCCGACGCCGACGCCGACGCCGGGACCACCAGCATGCGCAACTTCTTCGTCCGCGCCCTGCCCTGCACCCTGGATGAACGGCGACGACGTCCGCCGCAGGTTCCAGCGCACTCTCCCTTCCCCGCGCACCAAAAAAAAAGAAAAAGAAGGAAGAAGGAAGAAAACACACCTCTCCCGCTCCCTTGACCATCTTCGACTCGTACCGCACCGCCTGCACCTTGTCCTTCTCTCTGTCCTTCTCTCTGTCCTTGTCCCTTTCCCTGTCCCTGTCCCTACTCTTTTCGCGGTCTGTCGCTTTCGGCCCCCGTGCGCTCGTCGTACCCATAGCCGTGCCCGAGCCCGATCCCAAATTGACGCGAATACCCGGCGGACCGCGACGCGCACGGGAGGACCCAGAAGACGACGCCGCGGTGCTCTTGCTCCGGGAGGCGGCGGACGACGTGCTCTTGCTGGGTTGGTCCTGCGTGGGGGTGGGTGGGTGTTAATTAGGACGCGCACGGAGGAGGGGGGGAGGGAGGGAGAAAGAGGGATGAGAAGAGGATGAGAAGATAGATGATAGATAGGCGGAAGTGCAGAAGTGTAGAAGGAAGGGACGGTAACACAGGAAGCAAGCGCGCAGCCAGGTGGGTCCCAAGTCCCACCACGCAGTGACAAGTAAGAAGTTAAGAAGTGAGAAGGAAGGAGTGCGCCCTCTCCTCCTCCTATCCCTATCCCCAAGCCGACCGTCCGCACGCCGCACGCATCCACTGAACCAGCACGCCCACCGGCTGCGGACATGGACGTGAAGTAGACGAATGGCGAGACAATAAATCAAAGGCCAAAACGCATCAAAGGCCAAAACGCGAGTGCGGGGTCATGAACGAGGGGAACCAAAGGCGTACAATGCAAGAAAGGATGCTGTGCGTAGAGGTGGTACCGGCGTAGCAAGTAGCAGGAGGGTAGCGAGACGAAACGAGCAAAAAAAAAGGAGACGGAGATGGAGACCAAAGGAAAGCCCGATCGCTGGCCGATCGATCGTCTTTGATCATCCGTCCGGAAAAAAAGTCATGGGCGGGCGACCCCGTAAAGGAAGGAAGTGCGCCTAACAAGGGAAAGAAAGAAAGGAACCAAAATAAAAAACGAGAAAAAACACATGCACGACCAAGGAGAAAAAAGAAAAAGAAAAAAGAATCGGCGGTAAGACACGAACCTCATACACCCCCGTCCACCACGACGCGCCCGCTGCCATCGCCTCCGGCTTCGTGCCTGCGGCTGTGGGCCTCGTCGTCGTCGGGGGCGAAGACGAGAGACTCGAGAGCGGAGAGGAGGATCGCGATTGGGATGCCGATGCCGCCGTGCTTCCTTTTGCCAGCTTCGATTTCACCGACGGCTTCGACTTGCCTGCGGCTGCTGCTGATGTTGCCGCCTTCGACGTAGAGCTCGACGACGTGCGTCCCCGCCCCCTGCTACCGCCCCCACCGCCCCCACTGCTCTCCTCCCACTCCCTGCGCCGCTCCCTCTCGCGCTCCCTCTCCCTCTGTTTTTCGTTTTCGGGCGTCGGCGGGGGCGACGGCGCGCGCGCGACGCTTTTGAGCGCCGTGGGCAAGTTGAGCGCGGACGGCGCCGCGCGGCCGCGCCGGGAGAGCCCCATGCCCATTCCACCTGGGACCGCTCCCCTTCCCGTTCCCATCGCCGATGAGCTGGACCCGGAGCCGAAACTGGGATTGGTATGTGAACGCAGCAGAGCGGGGTCGGGCGGGCCGAACGTGGGTGGTGCGGAGGAGTCGGTCGGCAGAGGCATAGTTGGGGCGCGGAGGAGGGAGTGGCGAGGGGACGCGGCGTTGGTCGAGAGCGACGTATTATTACTGGTACTTAAATCTGAATTGGAGGACGAGGCGGACGACCCCAGTGCAGCTCCCAAGCTCGAGTTGTTGTTTGTAGGTGAGGAGCGCGCGGGCGCAGGTGGTTTCTGTAAAAAAAGAAGGCGCGTTTGCGCGGGATGCGAATTGAAATTGAAACGGAGACGCACGCTCAATATCTCGCCCGGGACACCAAAGTACAGTCCCTGGGTGCTATGGCCGTTGTTTACGCTCAATTCAGACGATTTTGGATGTCCTTTGTGCGGCTACGCGTCGGGCGAGTCAGATATGTAGATAACGCCAAGAATACATCGATGTCAGAAACTGACCTGTCCTTGTCCATTCCCACCGCCAATCTTCAACAACGTCCCTTCTTTCTGTCCCGGATTCGCGTTCCCAGAGTCCTTTGTTGTCGTCGCCACCAAATTTGCGGTATTATTGTTACTTGCAGTTGAACTTGAACTTGAGCTCGCAGTATGCGCCGTGGATGCGGTCCTCTGGGGAGTCATTGACCCGTCCCAGTTGGCCAGCGACGAGTCCATGGCCAGCCCCGCGAGCGTTTCAATAAAGCAAAAGGCAGCCGTATTTGCCCGTGTTTACTTTCCATCACCCGCATTCGGACGCCTCGTTTTTCGTCCAACAGCAAGCGGCCGGTTCCGCGCGCAAAGGTTGGTGACTCGCTTGGGACTGTGCGCGTCCTACAGCAAATCGGGGTTGAGGCTAATTTTTCGGCGATTTGAGCTCAAGCCCTGAAATTTACTTCCAGGAAGATTCAAAATCGCGTCAGCTCTCCGACCACTTTACAACCCTACCAGCTCAGACATGGTGTAATCGCAAACACTACCTCTGCCTCTTCATGAAGTTCGCGCATGTTCAGAGGTCGCTCGGGGTTCGACTCCCCGTGTCTGCTTTCATCTTTCCATGTTTGTTAACTTTTTTTGATTCTACTCGGACATGGCCAGGACTACAGCCAAATGAGGGAAGCAGCAAGGACTCAGACATGGTGTAACGGTAACACCGCCTCTCTAGCTGGGGTGCATACAGTATATGAGGCAGTCGAGGGTTCGACTCCCTCTGTCTGAATGAATTGTATAATTTTTCGGGTTATTTTTTGCAATTGCTCAACAACTGACGTGTTGTCATGTTTTAGACTCGCGAGACCCACAACATGAACGACGAGCGTTCACGAACCGAGAGAGAATTTCATGGTCAACCGGGTCACAGGGGCTTTAAATTGAAGTTCGAACAGTTCAACTACTCACATCGTTAATTAAATACGAGCCGAGTTCCCCCCTACTTACAAGTGCTTGCAAAATTTGCCCACCTACAGTCCCGACTTCGCCTGCTATACCAGAAATCGGACATGGTGTACGGTACACCCCCTCGTTCCTTGAACGCCCGCAAACAGCTAATGAAAGAGGGAATCCGGGGTTCGACTCCCCGTGTCCGTGTCCGATTGATCAGTGAGCAGGGTTTGTGTCTTTTTCTTCCACCCACCTCAGCAAAAATTGCCGACCCGCCCAACCAACTGCACAAAAACCATTACTTGCTCTTAACCCAGCTCGAAGGAAATTTGAACGGTTCAACTTCAACTCGTTCCCCCTTCAACGTAAGTGCATCATTGAGAATTGCAAAATTCGCCCACCTACAGTACCGACGTTTGCCGGTTATACCAGAAATTGGACATGGTGTACGGTACACCCCCTCGTTCCTTGAAAGCGCGCAGACATCTAATGAAAGAGGGAATCCGGGGTTCGACTCCCTGTGTCCCCGTGTCCGATTGATAAATTTCTCTCTTTTTCTTCAACCCACCTCAGAAAAAATTGCCAACCCGCCCAACCAACTGCACAAAAAACACAACTTGCTCTTCACCCAGCTCGAAGGAGAATTTGAACGGTTCAACTTCAACCCGGTCCTCCTTTTTCACGGTGCGTGCATCATTGATCGTCGCAAAATTTTACCCGGCTATCTGAATTTGCCTTCGCAGCTAGACCAGGTCCCGGGTATGGTACATACTTACATACTTCCGCACAACTATCCGCATATCTATTCGCCGTCACAGATACCCCGGAATCGGATGTGGTGTAGGGTACACCCCCTCGTTCCGTAAAAGAGTTGTTCTGTGAATGCAAGAGGGAATCCGGGGTTCGACTCCCCGTCTCCGAATGGTGTTACAGTCTTGGACGAGTAATTTTCTGCCTCGGTGCTCGGACGCCGGGAAAATGCTCAGGATATGGTGCTCATCAATAACATGTTGACAGTGGCAACATCCAAAGATGAGTTCCCCACAAACGCTCGTAACGCCCTCCTCAATTGTGGCGGTCAGCGTCCAATAACGAAGGAAATCCAGGGTTCGACTCCCGTGTCCGAATTGGTGTTGATAGACAAAGCATCTTTTTTTTTTGCAATTTTTTGCAATTCAGCCCACCTCAGAGAAATTGCTCAACCAACTTCTCAGGAGTTCCACGCTCTTCTTCCGACTCAAACCTTAGTTCGAGGAGCTTCAACTTCTTCCAGCAAGCGAACATGAGTTGAGTGCTTACTTCCGTGCACCTGCTCGCACAGATTTCCTTATTTATTTGCCTTCATATATATATGTACCAGAAATCGGACATAGCATAGGGTACAACCCTCCCATCTTGACGAGACAAAGACGATGTATGAGGAAATCCGGGGTTCGACTCCCCGTGTCCGAATGCGCTGTAAACATTCCTTTTTCCTCGATTCAACCCACCGCACAAAAAATCGCTCATCCAACTTCACAGAACCCACACCTTACTATTGCTCTTGAGGCGGGTGGAACGTGAACTCGAACGGTTGGACTTCAACTTCTTCCCCCTTCAAAGTGAGCGCCCGACGGCTTACAAAACTTTACCCCCCTATCCTTTCACAGTCATACCAGAATTGGGCATGGTGTACGGTACACATCCTCCTTTCCTTTGGGCTTTGTCACGAGGATGCAAGAGGGAATCCGGGGTTCGACTCCCCGTGTCCAAGTAGTGCCTGATTGTATCGCTTTTTTCCTTCAACTGGCGCCAGAAAATGCGAACTTATCCGAGTCCGCTACGGCGACAGGGAGGGTAGCGTGCGGTACACACTTGAAAGGTTCTTGTAGTGGCTACCCGAGGTTTTCTTCTGGTTCATTCCGAACTTGAATTGAGTATTTCTTCACAAATGCCCACTTATTAATATTGACCCTCCTAGTTGTACTAGAAATCGGATGCACAGTATGGTACCCGCCTCCTTCCAATGCGCCGAAAATTCCAGTCGGAATGAACACGGGGTTCAACTCCACATGTCTGATTAGAAACGGCTCTTGGTTGAGCTCGGGGCTGTTGGGGTTCGATGCATAGGGCGCGCCTGAACAATTTTTTTTGGCTTACCACTGGCAGGATCGTTTTGAATTTCTGTCATCCGAGGACGAGAGCATTAAAATGGCTTCCATGCCAGGTTCTTCATACCTTCACAGATCAGTATCAAGGGTCCATTTCGAGAAGACAAACTTGTCAGCTGTTCCCACGGTTGGAATCGTCAAGTTCAGCCGCTGCACCTTATTCATTAGTCGCAGAGCCACAAAGAAAAAAAACAAGAGTATTGATTGTCTATGAAATAGCACAGTGCATACGTAGATGGCGCGTATCGCTTCACCTAAAGGTGTGGAATATATACGCTCCAGCCGACGTCCACGAGGGCGCCGGTAGGAAGAGCGCGGAGCGTGGTAAAGGGCAGTACAATAAGAAATAGTCTGCATATAATGTAGACTGGAGCTCCCCCGAGAAATATTGTTTTCAGGACATTGAAAGGCAAATTTTTAAAGGTGGAATGCTGCATTTTCCTGGGGAGGACCTTACGCCCCACAACAAGTAAACCACCCAAGAATAGCAAGAATAGTGGATACGCAGCGACGAAGCTTGAACTTAACCTCCACATCCACATTTCCGCGATAGTGGAGAACGTCGCGTTCCAGACCACGCAATGAATGGCACCGAACGACCCGCCAACGATTAATTAACCGCGAGAACCGACATGTTCAGCGACTCCGGTCCTTGGTCCTGTCTGCTGGAATAGAACATGGGCACCGATGTGGATGATGAGGCCAGATATTCTGGATAATCCCACGAAAATGCACCGCGCAGCTCGTCTTTCAAGCTTGGCGATGTCTTTACGTTCAATGCAAAGTAAGGCGAGGAGGCCGGCGGTCCAGCTACAACAATAGGTTGTTGGACATCGAGCGGTTTCGACCACCAAAACAGCCGGATAGAAATGCTGACGACGGCGAAGGCGAGGGTGGCAATCTCAATTTCGGTGACAGGAAGATGTTGGTGGAAGCGGGCTAGACATTGCACTGTGAACCACAGCCCCTGCGTGATGGCCACACCCTTGGAGAGCGCATCTCCCTTGCTTTTGTCGGCGATATCTGCGTCTTTGATGCTTCGGATGGCAGCGATATAGTCGGAGAGCACATCATCTTCTGCGATGGGATGGCCGGCTTCCGTGACGAAACCACCCATGCAGCAAAAGAATGCGTGGGTCTTGGGAACACCGAATTCTAGAGTGAGCTCAGCACCGAACACGATGGGTGACAAAAGGAAATCCTGACTTTGTGCAATAGACCGAGCATCAAAAAACTGCCGGGCAGCCAAGCACACAACGAGCTCCGGAGCGATAACAGTGAAGAGCATCATCTTGAGTTTTCGCAGCTGTAGTGACAGCCATCCCATGTCAGGCGGCGGAACATTCTGGTGTACGGCGACCCAGGTGCAGGCGAAGACAGTGGCGAGACAGCCCCATATGATATCGAACAGCGTTCTGGAGTCGTTGATGTCGTTGCAAGCGACCCCGTCAGCGCGTAGCTCGAGAATATTTGCATGGGCAAGGTTTTCTTTTTTGGTGATGTGAACAAGGAAGAGTAGGAGAAGCATGGAGGCCCGCCTGGTATATATATGTTCAGCAGAGTACCGGAGTTGGCGAACGAATATGTACCTGGCAATTGAATCGATCTAGTGGGTTGGCTTTGGGGCACGAGAGCAGAGCGTCAAGTGTTGCCATTTTTGAAGTCCACAGCAATTGAATCCGGTGACAGATTTACGGCAACGAAGGGCAAAATGTAGGCGGCAGTGTCCCTCATTTCCACGAAACAGCCTGAGTATATTTTCATGCGCAAGCCTGGCTGTACTGGCGACGTGAACGAGTAAGAGCAGCATCGGAGCCTGATCGATAAGTGTAGCGTCAGCAAATAATCTTTGGCTCAGGCGGGAGAGCAGTCCCTCTGGGTCTGTTGATTCAACTTGATTGACGATCTGGCGCTGTCGTCTTTTAAGAATTCTCCACGTCTTATCTTTTAAAGCCAACGACAGCAAAGCAGAGCCTTGGGAAAGAACTATAGCCTTGGTTCCATTCCAGGAGAACGCGCTCGAAACACGTGGAGTTTATTTTGAGACCTAACAGTCTTGGACCGCAAAAAGGGATCTTCGTTGGGGACGCGTCGACAGCAAGGATGAGCATATTCGTAGGACAGTGATGCAATGACGAGGCATTCAACGAGCACAGTCAAGACAACGGGTGGCTGGAACGAGGGTGATATGGGAGATGAAAAGTCAGGCACAGATAGATGCCGGCAAATTCCTCCCAAACGCCAACGGGAATCAAAATGCCCAAGAAAGCCGGGGGCGACTTCCAAGCTTTGACCGACGTCCTAGAAGTGCGCAAAAACGTGTATTCATTGAGCCTTTGCTAATAAAAATGCGGTGGAGCACGCCTCAGGCTCTTTGGCGCGACGGCGAAGTGTGAAAAGTCCTAACACCAGTAGTGTAAGTGCGAGTCGAGTTTCGAACAAAAAAATTTACCCTAGTAAACGAGCTGCAGTATCTGCAGTCATATCCTGAAGGGACGAATGATGCCGCACCCAAATCCACAAAACATAATCAGAAACCTACCGTCTGCTCAGCAGCCTATCTACGGTAACATACGACCCCGCCACACACCTGAAGTCACACCGTCGGCAGGGTTGGGCAGAGGTGACTCGTCCCTCCTCTCTTCAACGCCCTCTGTGGTGTTCTGCTGGCCATCGAGGTGTGCGAGGGGGGGTGGCAGAAGTCACATATCTTTGAAGTATCTAACGGTTTTCGCCCATCAGCCAGACGCTAAAGGAACATCGACGAAGAAGTCAGCGGTAAAAACATACCTGGTGGTACGGGCGTGGCTCCGCGACATTAACGGGTGCGGCACCACAGTGAATAGGTTCTAGAGGACGGCGGGGAAGGATCCACGTACATCTGAAAAAGCGCGTCATTTTTCGAAAACGGGGAGGTAAGTAGAAAAGGAGGTTGCGAATCAGACGGCGATCACGGCCTTGGCCCTGAACTCCCGTTGCGCCTCAGTGCGTAAAGTCAAAATCCCTCTCTGTCTGGGACTTGGAATCTGTTACTTCACCCTCCCGGGTATGCGGAAGGTAAAGGTGTTCCTCCAATTCGAGGTTTGTTTTTCAACTTCGGTGCTGGCCTCCTTTTTGGCTCCGGGTAGGTAGCGGTTTGAACCTTAGCAGACAGGTGGGGACGCAACGTGGATGTCCGACGGACCTAGAGTCCCTGTGCATTTTGGGCCGCTATGTGGCGACAAGCAAGAGTTCAGGTCAGGACTTGAGCAGTTCACAACGTCTTCTTCTAAGCGCAACGATGAGAGCAACCAAAGAGCTACAGCACTGCAGAAATTCTGCGGTGTTTCTGTCATAACCCGTGTCCCATCTTCTTGTTGAACTCCAGTTTCCTCGAGAGTTTCGAAGTCCGGGTTTTGTTCGATGCGGAATGACTGGCGCAAAACTGCCGTTGGTGTTCTTGCGATTGATGACAAAACGTCCCGAGTGAGGGGAATCTTTTGCCAGTGCCCGAGAGTCCGAGACCCAGGTAAACATGGCGCCACCGTTGTCAAATGTCCGCTTCCCGCGTTGGTCCAATTTTCGTTCGCAGCGAGAGGAAACGACTCTGACGAGCGAGATTTCTGTGAGCACGGGCACTTTTCGAGTGTGGTGGCAATAATGTGGGTAATTTACACAGCAGAAATCATGATACAAATTGCGGCGAAAGTCGGCCGCGGCTGCATATGGTGCGCTGTCAGCTCAAAATTACTGGCGTCGGGTAAACCGAGGGGACAAGGACAGACCGAAGCAATGCAACTTGGGGAACTTGAGGACCGAAGGAAAGCCGTCTATGTCGGCGTCGGGGCCAAGTCGGGGCCGCATTGGAACCGGCACTGCCCGGCGGGCCGACCTGTTTGATCTTATTTATGTAAACGTGTCCGAGTTCTGAAGGCTGAGCCCACGAGTGCGATAACTCTGCCACCGAAGTTTCAGCAAAACCCAAGGTGAATGGCTAGAGCCTTGGGCATTGAGCGGATCACCGACATGACAAGGATCGTCATGCGTGAAACCAACGTGAAACTTCGCATTCAAAAGCGCCTACTCAATGGATCACTACTCTGGCGTGAAGATCGCATAAAATGAATGGGACCCTAACTCGCCTGGCCCTCAATCTTTTCCTTTCCACTTTATGGCTTCCCTAATTTCTTTGGCTCTTCTCTCGCTTGCTTCTTCATCGTCTGCATTTCCCAATCTCGACAAACGCGTTTCTGGGGTCACTACCTCCTCGTCAGGTATAAATGGGTCGACCTTCGACTACATTGTGGTCGGCGGAGGATTGGCTGGAATGACTGTCGCGTCGAGGCTCACGGAGGACCCCTCAATAACTGTCCTTCTCATTGAGGCAGGCGCAGACGACCGGTCAAACGAAGAAATCTACGACATCTATGCCTACAGCCAGGCCTTTGGAGGGTCTATGGACTGGGCATGGAAGGCAGAACAGGGAAAGGTCATACATGGGTAAGTGGTAAGCGCGCCTCGCTCGGTCTTGGGCTAAAAGTTCTGTTCATCAGCGGCAAAACACTAGGGGGAAGCAGCAGCATCAACGGTGGTCACTGGACTCGAGGATTGAACGCTCAGTACG